AAATTGCAAGCGTGCGGTGAGATAAAACCGTTCAGTGAGACACGCATTCGCCGTTGCTAGGCACGCGCGCCACACTAGGCGCACGTAACATACATAGATGAAAGCGTAGCCAATGCCACTTGCAATCAACAACTCCAGTTTAGTCTGCTCTTGCATATGACCGCTTGGTCATTTTTTTTTTGGGTACACCCTAATATCTGATTTTAGATATATATATATATAAAATCAGATTTAGGTAAAGAAATTTATTTAATACAAAATGAAAAAAATTTTTAAAGCAGAATTGAAGAATGGAGATATTTAAGATCTTTAAAATAAAAATGTCTATGCTTATAGTGCATCAGCCATATTACATTCGCGTGACCACGTGACCTCGTGTTAATCACGTGATATCATTTGTCCTTATGTCACATTATGTAATACATAAGTTTTGGGATCAACTTTCAGGCTCAAATAGGAGAGTTAGCGGTCTAGTGTATGATATAAATGTCTATGCACAAAAATGCTCTGCTCTAGAGCTTTGTTAACTTATGTCGTACTGTATCGTAGGAAAGCATTTGTGTCGACACTCTATCACATTGTATTACCTGTGTCTCTTAATGGAAGACATTCTGTATAGTTCTTTTAATTCGTGTGACGTCCGCGTCGCGCGTACGTATAGTCCCTCGCTTTAATATTTGATTGTAATTACCAGGCGTTCAATAGCGCTGTTACTGTAACGAGGCTGTTAGCAATAATCAGTAGCCATAGTTCAGATTGTCTGTATAGCGGTTTAATTATAATAAAAGTTTTTATTGAAGCAACCGACATTGAAAAAGAACTAAGTAACCAATTCCTTGTGCCACACAGCAATAACGAGAAATGGCGCGTCCACATACGCAAAGACAATAAGCCTTAACAGTGATAAGCCTTAAAGTATATATATGTATAACTCAATATATATATACATATATATATATATATATATAGACACACACACACACACACACACACACACACACACACACACACACACACACACACGTTCCTGTGTATGTGCGTGTATTAAATTATTAAAAAGTTAATTATTTCATATTTAGAACCTAACTTATATATAAAACAATATACAGGTATTGTTAATATATTATAAATTTTCTTAAATTGATTATTTATTGAATTTAATAGATTATTATGTTTGAAAACTTAAATTTTTTAATTTATATTTATAATATTTAATATTCATAATTTATATTGATATAATTTGTAAAGTTGTACATCATATGATACTGATATATTGATTATATATGATATATCGATCGGGAAATTCATTACCTCGCTTAGATCTCACGTTATTTATCTGAATTTTTCACATCGCTCTCATCTCAGTTCATGATGAGATTCAAATAACGATTTTGAGAATAATACGGATGTAACAATATAGGCTTTAGACTTTTTTTTGCTTTGTTCATTAAATAGTTCACAATTATTTTTATTTTAATTTCTTTATTTTTTATGCAATATCATTCAATTTACCATTTTTTAATTCTTTCGAATTCTATTTTAATATACGAATTTTCTTAAGTTAAATCAAAAATTAATAATTGAGATCAAAATATGAAACGGTTTCTGTAAATATTTAAATCAGTGATTAATTATTATTTGTTGCATTTCGAAAAATTTGTTTCAGAAAATTTCGAAAAAAACGCGACGTTATTAAGTAAACATTGGGTCTGTACTTTTTAGCTGCGCTAGTTCAGAGTTTATCTTTTTTCTTTCAGTGTAAGAAAGAAAGGTAAACTGTGAACTAGTATAATCAGTTCAGCCAAAAAGAATACGGTATTCCGTTCGGCGCTGCTCTCACATCGATTACTAATTTGAAGATCTTTCCTTATCGACGCGGTTGTGAAGCAGTTGTCAAGTGTGATTGTTGTTATGCGGAGATTTGAGGCGGACGAACGTGTGTCCGCGGTGTATTAATTATTCTACAGCCGTAATAAAATTCCGTTGCTTTTTAAAGAAGTATGGTTATTTCGCGCGCGACTTACGCATATATAACGCGATTCGTGATCGAGACCGCGAGCGCGAAAAATTTCCGCGTAACACAATCACACTTGACAACCGCTTCACAACTGTGTCGACAAGGAACGATCTTCAAATTAATAATTGAGATTGGGCCCGTTTGGTCACGTTGTAATTGACCACCAGCCACTCATAGCGTTTGAACAGAGGAAAACCTCTAAGCACCGGCCGCTGTGAGTGGCTGCGGTTAATCGTAACGTGATCAAACAGGACACTACCAATCGATGTGAGGCAG